AAACTGAGGGCTGATGGGGGTGGAGGAGAGGGGAAGGGGGGTGATGGGCATGGAGGAGGGCACTTGTTGGGATGAGCACTGGGTGTTGTATGGAAACCAACTTGACAATAAACTATAATAAAAATAAATAAATAAATACAGTCTCAGCCCAGGGCCACTCTGATATGGAAGAGAACATAAGAAAATTTTTGAGAGAGGTGCCCCTGGTGTTTGGGAACCAGAGTAGCCCACACAGGCAAGGTTAAGTAGGAGCCCTGGAGTAGTATGATTAGGACAACAGAGTTAAAATTCTGGATCAAGTCCAGCCTAATTGCTGAAATGGACCAAAAAGCTATAGATCTACCAAGCAGATGTGAGAAACTGTATCTAAGCAGCGCTTAGCTGAGGGCAGTGATGTGAAAATAGGTGAAACTATACCTGGTTTATACCTCATGTTCCAATTGTTCGATAATTCTGCTCCACTCAGTACTTCTCTCCCTTAAAAAAAATCAGTGTCACCTTCAAAGTGGCAATTTTATTCTATGTCCTTTCATCTGAACCCTATATAAAAGTGTGGACACTGGTATCAATACCAATATGGATTCTTTTTTGTTTATATTTTATTTCTTTGTTTTGTGTCCATCTGTTGCTTATAGAGTTGGCTTTTGTGTGAGAAATCTTCCAAATGATGTTTCAATATACACATAATGTAAACCTCGTCTCCAAGCTTATAGAAACTTCCAAGGAATATTAAGAATTTACTCAAGTGCGATCAACACCGTTATTGCTAACATTGAAATTATTAATGGCAGTGGTAGCAACTACCATTTCCTGAGCACTTTCTGCAAGCCTCCCTCTGTGGAGGTGTTCTGCGTGCACTTTATCCAGTCCTCACACCAGTTGATTAGGTGGGGATGGTCATCCCATGTTCTTCCAATAATAATAAAGCAACGTGTCTGGTGCTGCAACGGGCATTGAAGTGAGCTCTTCACATCATTGCCTCAATGCCTTCTCACAGCCCTGTCAGCTGGAAGGGCTATTTTCCCACGTGTTAGATGAGACAGCTGAGGGTCCAGTGAGTGAAGGGACCTTCTCACATCACACAGTCAAGAAGAAATAGGGTCAGGACTTGAACCTGGCCTGCCTGGGTCTAAAACCCTGTTTGTTCTGCTTCATGATTGTCTCCCAGAGACAGTAACCACGTTGCCATGCCTACCACTCTGACCTGTTGTCCACAGTCCAGGTGGGTTTGCTAACCCACTCTGGAGATCTTTTCTAGCACCAAAATTTGGAATGCCGGAATGGAGGGGAATCCCAGGTAGATGAAATGGTGAGCCCAGGGCAAAGGCAGGCACAAAAGGAAAGGAAGAGTCTAGCAACTTTCAGCTCATGTCCAACGAGCAGCTCTCTGTCCTCGCTTCTACCTCAGAGGCCAAACTGCCACCAGCCTCAAGGCAGAGGGGACCCCATCCTGCTGATGGTAGATCTTTGACTGGGAGGCAGCCAGTGGGTGTTAACTAAAGAAACAAACACACATTATTCTTTCATTCACAAAACTTTAAAGTTTACAAGTGCCTTTTATATATTTTGAGTCTTGCACCCACTCTGTGAAATAAATATCATTATGCCCAAAGTTTTTGCCTATCTCAGATTTCATATTCTGCTCTCCTTTAGTGGAGACCTAGACTATGCCAGGGACCTTTCTATGCAGTTTCCAGTATAAGACTTCATTTAAATCTCACAAAGTGCCTATGAAGTAGCGATCATTATTTCCATCCTGAAGAAAGGGAGATTAAGGATCTGGGTGATGGTGTGACACATTCACCACCACCTATAAAATCAGTTTGTTTGAGGCCAGGTCACCCTTCATCACACCTGCGCGCAGTCCACAGCACGGGGCCACTGCAAGACATTCCCCACAGGCTCTGACGGAGCAGCCTGGCCTCTGCTCACCACTGCTGTGCTGATGGCTTGAGTCTGTCTGTCTCACTGGTGTGTGCACAGGTAAATGACTTGTCTCTTGTAGTTGACAGGACTTCTGATCAAGAAAGAGCTGTTTCTGAGGAACTGAATCCAAGGAGCCTCACTGACATCTTGGCAGGATTAGATGAGAAGGCCCTGAACATGGAGCCAAAACATAACAACATCCTGGTGTAAGATGTCAGGGGGGTATTAGGAGGTGCTGGGTGAAATTAGTAAATAACTTGTTGCCAGTGGGCAGACTGTGGCATGGCTGTTTTTAAACCTAATCCCAATGCGTGTTGAGATTTTTTCTTTAGGAGTGGGTAGAGTCTCTATCCCCTCCCTTGAATCTGGACTCTGGGACAGTTTGGCCAATAGAATAGGACAGAAGTGGTGCTGTGTTAGTTTCAGGCCCAGGACTTAATGAATGGACACTTTTCACTTCCCATCTCTTGGGTCACCTACCCTTCAAACCTAACCACCATACTTGAGGAAACCCAAGCTACAGTGCAGGGAGACCCACGTGTGGAGGAGTTGATGAGCAGCTTTCTTAGCCATGGGAGTGAGCTGTCTGGGAAGATCCCCAGAGAAGCCAGCCCGGGCAGTGCAGCGTGGAGCAGGGGCGAGATGTCCCTGCTGGGTCCTGACCAAACCGCAGATTCATAAGCAAAGTAAATGATCATTGTAGTTTTATACCACTGTGGCTGGGGATACTTAGATACACAGCAACGGATAACTGGAAGAGAGGAACCTGATTATCTGTAGATCCTCTACTATATGACAAGGCTGTTTCACCAGCAGTCACTTTGAATTCTTAGAGCAATCCCCTTAAACAGATGGAGAGACTGAGCCTCAGAAAGGATCACTTGAGACCTCATATCTTATAAGTGGATCAGCATGGATGTGAATTCATTCTAGATAAATTCTCCAGTCCCCTACACCATGGGGCAGTGAGATAGAGACAATGAGTCTCCAGATCCTAACCACGTGTTATATGTTAACCTTTCTCTAGCAAGATCCTGCAGGGACTGTGAGTATAAGACCAGCGTACCAGCCAATTCTGCCTTCAGGTCGTGTGATGATTATTTGGGAATACCAAATGCATCCAGGTTTGAATTCCAGGCACAATTACAAGGAGTGCCCCCCAGGACAGGGCATCAGCTGAGCAGCATTCTGGCTGTGCGACCTCAGGGTCATCGCCTAACTTCCCTGATCCTCATTGAGTTGTTTTAAGGATCAAATGAGGACGTATTGGTAAATAACAGCACCTGGCCCAAAATAAATACTCGATACATTGAGGGTCCCTAACATTGGGAACTTAGAAGAATTTTCTTCGCTCATTCCTCCTGGCCCTAAAGAGAGAGTTCCCTGGGGTCATGATGAAACAGATGCATCCCACTCCTGAGCCTCATTTATTTTAACCTCCTCAAAGATTTAGACCTTGTGCCTCCATCCTGCAGCCCCTACGGACAAGAACGAAGCTCAAGCCACGGCCAGTAAGCTTTGCTCACAAATTCCTCCTTCACGACTGACTGAGCCCCGATACTGGAAAGAAACATTCTGTTGAATCATGTAAATCCCCACTCATCTCCAAATTGGGTGCTGGAGTGCCTCGGGGAAGGGATTTTACAACCTCACTGACTTCAGCCAAGGTAGACTCCAATTGCTCTTGCAATTCAGATAATTCAGCCTGCGCCTGGCAGCAAGACCATGCAGGGGCCCCCTCCCTTCTCCCCTGGACTGAAGGGGACCAGTCCCTTCCTTAGGGAGGCAGAGGATAGAGATCTTAAGCCTCCCACCCCTGGAAACCCTCCCCCAAACAGCACAGGTGAAATTCAGAGACTCCTCACGTGCTCACATTCTCACTTGAACAAAGGATCTCCGATAGGGGCAGGGGTGGGGAGGGCCATCTTGAGAGATGGCATCTGCAATATGAGGTCAAGGTCACCTGCGCTTTCCCTCACAACGTCCTGGGTTTCAGAGGCAGGGTAATGCTGTGATGGAGCTACCCTTACGTCTCTACGCAGGAAGATGTTTTCTAGCCTGTGGGCCCCTGGGGAACACTGTTATCTTTTCTTGTACCACTGCCTTTTTAAAAATTTTATTTTCAAATCTTGGCCTTGCAATAGATCATTCAACCCACAGCCAACCGAGCTGCATGTAGTACACACCCAGCCCTGTCTATCCCAAGATGCTGTGGCTGTGTTGTCGCAGATGACAATTCCCCATGTTGGTTTGAAAGATTGCTTTCCTCCCAATGGCTCGATTCCCATCTCAAATATTAGAAAACAGGTCAGCAGCTCCACCAGTAATCATAATCATAAAAATTACTATCTGCTTTTGAGAGCTTAGTCTCCAAGGACTTAATAAGCACTGTATTATGTATTTGTTGCTTTGGCTCCAAAAGACAGATCTTATTGTCTGTATGTATTTCATATATGCAGAAATAGGTTCAATAGCCAAGTGAGTTGTCTAAGGCCACGCAGCTAATATGTGGCAGAGTTAGAATTTTTTATTGAAGAATAACTGACATACAATATTGTATTAGTTCCAGGTACACAACATGGCGATTCGATATTTATATACATTATGAAATGACCACCACAATAAGTCTAGGTACCGTCTGTCACCTTACCAAGTTGTTACAACATCATTTACTGTATTTTCCATGCTGTACAGTATGTCTCTGTGACTTATTTATTTCACCACTGGAAGCTTGTACCTCTTAATCAGATTCACCTCTTTCACCCATCATCCCATCCTCCTGTCCTCTGGCAGCCACCAATCTGTTCTCTGTATCTATGAGTCTGTTTCTGGGGGCTTGGGGCTTTATTTTTATATGTCATATATAAGTGAAATCATATAATTTTGTGGTTCTCTCTCTAACTTATGTCACTTAGTAGAATACTCTCTATGTCCACATTGTTACCAATATCAAGCTTTCATTCTTTTTTATGGTTGAGTAATATTCCAGTGTGTGTGTGTGTGTTTTTATATGTGTGTGTGTGTGTGTATATATATATATACATACATACATATACACACCTCATCTTCCTCACCGTCCGTCATTGGACACAGGCTGCTTCCTTATCTTGGCTAATGTAAACAATGGTGCAGTGAACAAAGGGGTGCATATGGCTTTTTGAGTTAATGGTTTCATGTTCTTTGGATAAACACCTAGAAGCAGAACTGCTGGCTCCTATGGTAATTCTGTTTTTAGTTGAGGAACCTACATACTGTTTTCCAACTGGCTACTCCAATCTGCATTCTCACCAACAGTGCACATGGTTCCTTTTCCTCCATATCCTCACCCACACTTGTTTCTTGTGTTGTTGAACAGGTGTGAGGTGGTATCTCACTGTGGGCTTGATTTGCATTTCCCTGATGATGAATGTGGTTGAGCATCTTTTCATATGTCTGTTGGTCATCTGGACATCTTCTCTGGAAATAGCAGAGTCAGAAGTTCAGTCCTGCCATCACTGACCGTTGCAAAACTCTTTGGGGAAAGTTCTCTGGTGTCTTCCCATACTCTAGAGGAACATGCTATCCAGACTGGTTAAGCCTTCCCCAGCCATGCTCAGCTGAAGGATCTCCATCCACGGTTCGCTTTCTGCATGTGCGGAGTCAGTTCAGAGCAAGCCAGAATCCTGCTCTGTCCTCACCAGCAGATGGCGTCCATCATTTATCCTGCAGCCTCCAACTCCCTTTCTGGTGTGCTTGGGGACCGATGACCTCATGAAACTCAAATGCCTACTGTTTTGTCCCAGGCTACGTTCCCTCTGCTCTCTGGGTCTTGCTCTCAAGGCTTTAGTAGGTCAGCAGAATTCCTGACACGATAAGTGACTCCCAGGGACTTCAAGGGACCAAAATACACAGATGTCCACAAATCATCCACAACGTCTTTACAAAGAGCAAACACGATTTACAATGTTCTCCTTCTTCACTGTCCTCTTCTAAAGGCAATTGCCCTGCCCACACGCATCGCAGCCCCTGAGCTACCGTGTTCTCCCCAGCTGGCATGTGACTCCCAGGCAGCCTCTGATTGTGCTAGGTGTAGACACCTAATCCAAGGCCAGCTATAATGTGGTCAACCATGAGTACCCGTGTCCAGAGAAGGGTGAACTGGACAATCAGATTTCCACTCAGGAAACCTGAATTAAAAGGTGTAAGAGGGGGGCCTGGGTGGCTCAGTCAGCTAAGCATTCGACTCTTGGTTTCGGCTCAGGTCATGATCTCACAGTTGATGAGATCAAGCCCCACATTGGGCTCTATGCTGACAGCACAGAGCCTGCTTGAGATTCTCTTTCTCCCTTTCTCTCTGCCCCTCCCCTGCTTCTCACTCTCTCTCTCTCAAAATAAGTAAATAAACTTAAAAAAAGAAATGTAAGGAAAATCCAGTTATTTGTAGCAGAAACTGAGGCTGGTTGAGTGCCCAGAGAAAGGCTTTAAAATAGACTGGAGAGCCTGAATACATTAATCTGATGTGCAGACAGAAATAATGACACTATGAAAACCCAAGTAAGCAGAAGCTCTGAGCAAGATCAAGGTCATGTGAGGAAAGCAGTTGTGGGTGGGAAGAGAGGCAGCGAGAGGGCAGTGTTTGCCTAGAGCTCAGCTGTGCCAACCCCCAACACTGGGAGGGAGATCCAGCAAGCCCTTCTGCCCTGGATCTGGCTGCCTCGACTGGGAGGCCTGGCCACGCTCTGGTTCCTGTTCTGGACTCCAGGGATAGCTCTTTCTCGCTCACTGCCAAGGGCATCCTTATGGCGACACCCTGCCCTCTTCCTTCTCTCCGGTGCGGTTTGCCTAAGTCTCTTTTCACCAAAAGAGACTGCTCCTAAGATTTCATCTGCACACTTTTGCAGTTGTGGGAGGGGGGACAGGCTTAGTTGTATTTTATATCCTCTGACCTTCATAGATGCCTGACTTGTGTCTGCAGGCATTTGGACACAAGGGGCTTACACGTGCGGCCTGTCAGTAATCAAATGCAAAGGTTATGATACTATGGAGTTTTCTTAGTTTTATCTCTGATGCCAATGCATATCTCTGTTCCCATTGTTTAAGCCTTCTTTTGCCTTTGGTGATTTCACATTTGATACTTCCTAATAAGCTCCTTTCTAAAACAAGATAATATATAAATAATTTTTCACAAAGGGATAAATCAGGGCCCCTTGGAAAGCAGAAGCCCCCTCAGGTGGATAAACAGGAGAGAGGTGAGCACAGGACCCCTCATGGAGGCATGGGAGAGGTTGAAGGAACTGAAAGGGACGGCGAGGTGCCCAGAAATGAGTAAGAGCGGGACGCCCTTATCATCCAGGTGGTTGGAGGAACAGGGTCGGGGGAACGATGAAGACTAGAGCCCAGTGAGTACTGGGCCATGAGGGCGACGGGAGCCCAGCGATGGAAGGAGACAGGTGCTGCCGGACACATCACTCCAGAGCAGGGGAGGGTCAGGAGAGAAATTCTCAGATCCCTTCTTCACCTCACCTTGGGACTTGGTTCTGGTGCTTCGCAACCCGAGCCGGGCAGCAAGGAAGTCCCCTGGTACAGCCTGCATTGGTGGTGGAGCGGCTAGCGATCTGCCTTCCAGGCGGCGAGATCTGTGTGGGTCGGCTTCCCAGGGCACAGAGAAAGGCTGAGAGAGGCGGGGCATGGCGTGGGCGGGGCATGGAGGGGCACGTGGTGTGGGCGGGGCATGGAGTGGGCGGGGTGTGAGGGGCGTGGCGTGGAGGGGGCGGGGTTTAGAATACGTGACGAGTGGGAGGTCCCGCGCCTGCGCCTGGTCACCGACAGCCATCAGACCAGCAGCGGCAGTGGACGGAAGAGAATGTTCAGGCCCAACCTCATAGATGGAGAGCTGATGCTGAGCTCACCACGTGGCTCGGGGGCAGTCCTCCTGGCAAGGTGCCTGCAGTCCACCCTCCTTCCAAGCCCTTGCACTTCCAGTTCCCCAGATACCAGCCGAGGCTGCCCACTTTATCAGCTCCCGTGGTTCCGCTTTTCACACCATCAGGGGAAGGGTGTCTCAGTGGTCATCGCGGCTGATGGAGAGCTTGGGGTTTGCATGTGCTCGTTCCCACTCTCTGCTGCTTTGTCCCCTGTCCTTGAGAAAACACTTCTCAGCTCAGTGAAGTGCCCAGGTTCCCTGGAGAACACACACCTCCGCAAACAGCCTGCCTGTTTCAGGGCCAAGGGATTCAGTGAGAGAACTCCACACCCATGTGGGCTGGCCGTCACCCACTCCTCATTCCTGCCTTGGCTGCAGAGTAAATCCTCATGAATCCGGGCTCGTGGATTCAGAATTTCGGAAACTGTAGACCCAGGCTCAGCTCGATTTTATTTGTTGCCATCTTTAGGAAAAGGAGAACTTACCTAAGAATAAAGCTAGCATTTATTGACGAGCCATGATTGCGTTTCCTCTTTATGTTCATTCTGTGAGATGGGGAGTGTAGAAACTGAATAGCAGAGAGGTTAATTTGCGCAAACTCTCACATTTAATGCTTCACGGAGGCAAGATTCAGGCTCTGACTCTCTGGGGCCAAGCACCACACTTGTCCCATTATACCATGCTGCTGCCTGGCAAAAAAAAAAAAAAAAAAAAAAAAAGCTGCTCATAGGACCGGTTGGGGAGGGAGGGCTGAAGGGCTCCCTTTTTTAACACTAGCAACCTGGGTGATGGGAGCCAGGATCTTCTGAGCTCCATTAGACTGTATGTCTATAGAGCTGAAAATAATAAAACTATACTTCCTAAAATAATTTTATAATGTTCGTTATTCAGTTGTTTGGACAAGATTATTCTGACTTCTCTCCCTCGGGCTGGGGAAAGAATAGGAGTCTCGGTTGCTGTGGTGGCGCGCGCAGGCGCACACGCACCCTTCTCCAGCCTCCTCGCCCAAGCCCATCACATTCCACTGCCTCGGGGCAAGTATCTCATGCCCACCAGGGCCAGAATTCACGTCCTCTGATTTGAGTTTTAAAGACAGAGATTTACACAGGATTACAATTTTTCTTTCTGTCTTTCTTTTCTTTTCTTTCTTTTTTTTTTTTTTCTTTTTTTGGTTGGCTGTGGTTGCTTCCCATTTCCATTGTCTGAATCACAGCCATGGAATAAATTGAATCTTTTTCTAACGTAGAATATATTACTCTTGAAATAGTAGGAAATGTTGATAATTGCCTTTTATTGGACTCACAAATAATTTATAAGTTGGTCCGGTTTGAAAAAAAAATATATGTATCATGGTCTTTTATTTCTTTGGCTTCTTCCTTGAGGCTAGAAGCAGCCTCTAAAAATAGCGGCTTGCGCGGCGATGGGCCTAGCGCTCCCCCTGGTGCTCATCCTGCAGAATTGCGGGCTCCATAAATGGACCTGAAGCCTCAGATGCGGTATTTGAATAATTCTTTCTCCCCTAAGTACACAGAGAAATTTGATTTATTCTTCACAGTCATGTCTGCATTCCAGAGCACTTCTCCTTATAAAGTCCATCTGCTTTGAGGATAAGTAAATGATCAATCCCTCATATACATTATCATGCAGTGAACACTTCTGTGAGTTAGCAAGAGCTGTGGATCTACCAAATGTCAGGGAGGCTGGAGGCTGCTTCTTTCCTTAAGAAGGTAGTGAGCAAAAAATACAAATTGATCTTTACATAAGCATGGTAGCTATGTACCAAGGGTATTAAAGAAACATGAATGGGCGTAGTGGGAAGGGGGGAGCAGGAGAAAGAGAAGACCATGGAAATGCAATGCTGAGCATAGAATCCTGGCTGTGGTAGGCAGCATCCTAAGATGGCCCTCCACAAGGGTGACAGAATGACACTCTCCCTCTGCCCCTGGGCACGAAGGAAGACTGTATTGCCCAGACCCCTTGCCGCTGGAAGCCATGTGACTGCGTTCTGTGGGATGAGATATAGGCCAACGGGATGTGGGCAGGAGTCATGCAGCCCTTCCCAGGCCTTGCCCCAGAAGCACCTCTAGTAATTTTTCACACACTCTCTCTTTCTGTATCCACACCATTGGAAGCAAAGCAATCCAGGACATCAGAGTCCCATCAGGGAAGGGAGCCGAATCCGTGCATCATCACTTAAAGGACACTTGCCCAAGAGAGCCCCCTGCTTCCTTCCAAACTGTGATGTGAGCAAGAAATAAACTTATATATGCTAAGCCACTGAGATTTGAGGGCTATTTGTTATAGCAGCCAGCATTAATTACCCTGACTATTAAAGCAAGTGTTAGTCGCAGTTTCCTCAACTAAAAATAGAGATGCTGTACAAGATTCAATGAAACAATGTATGTGGAAAACATTTGGCAGACTCAGGGGTCCATAAATGCTGGTTTAAAGCAGTGGTGTCTCACACAAGCAATACTTTCATTCTGAAAGAGTGTTTTTGTTAATATCCCACAGGTTTTCATTGCAAGGAAAAGAAGACCCAACTCCCAACTGACAAGCCAAGTGGAGATTACATTGGCTCCCAGAGCTGAAAACTTCAAGTGTAAATTAAGCCTTCGGGTTGGTTTAATCCAACCAGCTTGAGGACCCAGGTCCTTTCTGTGGCTCCATTCTTTCTTCTGCCTGGTAAGTTTCAGTCTAAACCAGACTCTTCTAATGGCCAAAGATGGCTGTCAGTAGCCCCTCCTACTACACATTCCTAGCTTACTTTGGGTTTGGGAGCAAGAAGAAATCTCATGCCACTATTCTAAGAAAGAATCCTCTGATCCCTCTGATTGGGCTGGTGTGGCTCACATGCTCACCCTGGAACCAATCACTTTGTTGAAGTGAAAGACATGTGCTCATGACCTCCTAATCAGGACCCATACCTAGAGCTAGGGGTGGGATCAGCTTTCCTTAAATCACATAAACTAGTGCTGGCTTCGGCAGCACATATACTAAATTCACATAAGCTTATTGGGAAGGAAGAGGGCACATCTATTTCCTTTTTTTTTTTCCCTCTTTTTTACTGTTTATTTATTTTTGAAAGAGAGAGAGACAGACAGAATGTGAGCAGGGGAGGCACAGAGAGAGAGGGAGACACAGAATCTGAAGCAGGCTCCAGGCTCTGAGCTGTCAGCACAGAGCCTGATGCAGGGCTCGAACTCATGAACCCCAAGATTGTGACCTGAGCTGAAGTTGGTCGCTTAACTGACTGAGCCACCCAGGCATCCCATAAAGAGCACATGTATTTAAATGGATTGTTTTTTAAGCAGAGGAAAGAAGGAGCAGGGGAAAAATGAATGCTAGACAGGCTACCAAATGTGTGTGCTACAGTCGGTATGTTTATTTCCCTAGAAGCAAAAAACAAGTTGTGCTGGTAGGTGGTAAATGTTATTTTGTGATCACCTTGAGTGATCCAACCTTTCAGAAATCTGTAAGTTAACTGGACATTACGGTTTTCAGTTTCCTAACTTCTGACAATGACTTCCCTAAAATATCCTCAGATATTGACTTCTTGAAATATACTCGGATATTGACATCCTGTCTTTCTTGACAGTGCAGTGTAAAAAAAAAAGTCTCTTAAGAATAATTTACTTTCTTACTCTTCTGCTTTCTTTTCCCTTTGTTCCTTTGTACCTTCCTTTGGTTTTGTGCAAGTATTTTAGAACGCATAAGATGCTATACGATTGGGAGGAATTATTATCTTCATCGACTCTTCATGCTAAAGTAAATCATATGATACATAATCATAAAATAATGAGACTGATCTTTCAACCTGAATGTGTGCTGTTTCTCTGAGCAGTCACGTTAAGAGGTGCTGTTCATCTTTCAGTGATGCAGGCATAGTTCACATTGTATCGATCACCCCTCAATTTTAACCAAAAAAGTGCAGAAGCTCGATCGACCAGACTACACATCTGATTTGATTCCCAATCCCTTGTAAGGTTTTCAACAAAATGAAACTATCTGCCAAAGCAAAGATTTGTCTTTTCAAATAACATAGCTTGGGATCTGAAGATAATTGTCACCAGAGAATTCCAAAACATTCTGAATCAGCATTCAAGAGTGAATACTGAGGAGCACATGAGATTTACATGTGTTTCACAGAAGAAAAGGTTGCAAGGAAGATGATCTCTTCACTACCCTTTCAGTCCCCCTCTGGCTGCATTTTCCCAGACAACAGGCTAACTCTGAACTCCTCAGCATGCCATTCAGGCCTTGAAATGCCCCTCCATTCTCCCGTTGACTCTCTTTGGCTGCTCTCCTCCCCACACACCCTGCAATCCAACCAGGCCAGAGCTCTCTCTGCTCCCTGGGGATGCTGGGCTCTCCCCAGAAGCTGCCCTTCTGCTCAGGCCATTGTTTGTGTCCCCTGACCTGCCCCTCTCCCTTGCACCTCACTCAAGACCCAGCTCATCCGTCATCTCCAAAATTTTTCCTAATCTTTTCCCACCACAAAAAAAGACTTTGGTGCTTTGTTTTTTTATCTTGTAGCTTAAAAAAAAAAAAATAACCTGTTAGAGCACTTGCTTTTTCTCTTGTGCCATTTTCATTTTACATATGTTTGGCCTAGGACACATTGCCCACCGATCTGTTGTGTACCCCAGCCCAGCTCTCTCCCATGTAGAAGAGCAGCTGACCCCTGCAGGCCTTGAGGCTCAGACTCCTCTATCATCTGGCTGTGCCTGGGTTTGGCCAATGACAGAAACAGACAGGAGGCTGGA